TAAATTAAATTATAATAAAAAATTAAATTAAAAAATTACATAAATAATGAAAAATTTTAAATAGTTAATTTGATACGATAAAGTTTTATCAATTTTTATGATATCTTTAAATTTATATTTTATTCAAAAATAAAAACATCATCGTTTTTTCAAAATCACATAAGACCATACTATAACATCGACTGAAATAAAGAATAAAATGAAATATTAAATCAAGATATATCTCGTTATATTATACAAATACCCTGCAAATTATTGCTTTAAACCATGTTTTGGAGACTCTGACTCCTAAAATTGAAGAGTTAAAGCTTAGGGCATATTATATATTTGGTCACTTAAAACCTCGCAAAAGCCGATAGTAATGTCCCAACAATATTTTCGATGCCACCGATGAACATCTCATATTCCAAAATCAATTAATAACCTTAATTATTCTCTATTAATTAATTAATTAATTAATTAATTTCACATTAAATAAATTAAACCATTTTTAAACATCAAAATCTTCTACGTAGTATGTAACTCGACCCGTTCCCATCAATGTTCTCGATGCAAATGGTTTTGATGTTCTTGATATAAACGATTTTCGGTTCAAAAATCTTACTGATGTTTTTGATACAGTGGTTTTTTTTGCTTTTTAAGCAATTTGTACTATGTTTTTTTAGAAGGGTGTCCTAAGCTATGTCCAGACTAATATTACCTGACAAATTGTGACTGCAAGAGATCAATCATATGATAAACTCAATGACCATAATTGTTGTGTACGTCTGGAATCGAATCCTGGACAGATGTGATATTCTATCATATCCCCAATATCTCAACCACTGCATCACAACCCTTATAGTGGTTGAGATACTGGGGATCTTGAACCCCTTGGCTCATTTAGAAATCCAATGAAATGTAAGAAGTTGGACCTCATATAAACGATCAATATGAGTGTTTTCCCGATTAGAAAAGACCCGATTATTACGATGATTCCAGATCAAGTAAAGAGTCGTCCATATTACCGTCTTCTAAATAAACCGTCGTAAATTTGGGATAGCAAGAGAACTCGCACACATGACCAAGTCTTCAAGCGAAGTTGGCGACGAAAAATTCAAGCCCCACCAACAGAAAATCTTGAAATGGGCAGATAATGGGCAGTTGATGAAGCAATGTTCAATGGTTTTGCTCTCACTTCCACAACACGGACAAAACAAAGAACCCGAGAAAAGGAATACCGTGCCTCTCCATGTTCTTAACCATTCTAAGAAACTTACTCCGTACTCCCGACATTGTTAACGGCAAAAATACCAAAAAAAATATCAAATTAAGGGATTGTTTGGTTCAGATAGGGAATGAACTTGAACCCCTTCCTTAATCTCAGCCATTGAGTTAGTTCTGAATTACCTCTTCACATGTGATTCGTAAGGATTGGTGTGGAGCCAATCAAAGTCACCAGTAATAAAAACAAATTAATCACGTAGATTTGACGTCATAGAAGTAACTGGAGGTAAATTAACAGGTAGAAGGAATGGCTACTGTATAACGTCCAAGGCCGTTCCTTAGCATGTTAAATGTGAGATTTTGAACAGGACCTTCAAAATTTTGAGGCTAATTTTACGTATGTTTAGAGCATTTTCATCAATCCATGTAAAGTTATAGTCCAAATTGTTAATTGTTTAGGTTTAGATACAAATTATTAAGGATTAACGTCTTTTTGTGCTTAACATATATGTTTGTTGTTATCTCTTATACAATAGCATCAAAAGTTCTGGATGTAACAAGGTCTCCAAAAAAGTTGGAACAATCCCTGATGAAGTCCCAAAGATGTACCTAAGAATTTTTGCACGTGATGAATTACATTGACTAAGAAATGAAGATATGAATATTTTTTTTAAGTCATTGCTCAGTTGGGTAGTTTCACAGTTTTTGTATCTGAGCGGTGTCTTGTGTTCGAGTCTTTTATTCAAAAACATAATAAATCTAGAATTTAAAGCTAATATAACATATCTAAAATTAAAAATTAAAAATTAAAAATTAAGCACATGACTAAAAAGGGACTCAAAAACCACAAGGGTGATGTCTGATTGGTTTGAGTTTGACTCCAAATGTCAAAAGTACCCGGAGGTCCCAGGTTCAAATCCAAGGAGGAATAAAAATCCCCTTGTGGCCACAGAGGTTCAATGCGGTGACTCCGGGCTATCTGCAAAGCAGGTGGTTGTCCTGGGATTAGTCGGCTCGCCTACCTGATTGGATATCCGGGTTAATGAAAAAAAAGACTCAAACCTACACATAGTATGGGAAAAAAACCTTGTTAACCAATTATACCAAGGAAAATTTGTGTTTTTATTGTAGTTTCAAAATATATACAGTTGCACACAAAATGATACATTAACGCCTTTCACGACCTAAAATTCTTTAAACCACGACAAAGGAATAAAATGGTAGTCCATACCACTGTATCCACTAGTGTGGGTCCACCCCTATCGAGGCCCCTCCTTACACGTCAACGTCAAACATCCTCTCTATTTATTAAATGCACCTCTATTTATTAGATTTCTTTTAACATATATTTTTTTATTAACCTGGATATCCAACCCGCTATGCGATCCGACTAATCTCAGGGTGACCATCTGTTTTGCAGATGGCATGAAGTCATCGCATTTGAACATTCGTGGCCACAATGGGGTTTTTATTTATCATTGGATTTGAACTTGGGACCTCCTGATACTTTTGATCTTTGGAGTCAAGCTCAAACCAATCAGGCACCACCCTTATAGTTTTCTTTTAACATACATTAACTTCAACACCTACGGTATACATTTTTCAATACATGATATATTTTAATTTGATTCTTACATAAACAAAGGTTATGCAACACTCAAAATAAGTTTTGATATATTTTTTTATTAACCTGGATATCCAACTCACTATGCGAGTTATTCGGAGTGATCGTATTTGAACCTCCGTGGCCACAATGAAATTTTTATTCCTCCTTAGGTTCGAACTAGAGACATTTAGACGGTTTTAACCTTTGA